CGTGAGAATCCCAGCGGGCGAGCGGCGGGAGCGCGCGGCCAGGTGCGCGGGGCGGGTGAACTGTGACCCGAGCGCAGGGGACCGACCCGGGGGGCAGCGGCCGACGGGCTCCCGAGCTCTCGGATCACCCGGAGAGAGCGCCGGAGAGAGCGCGGTCTTGAATCCCGACTCCGTGGAGTTTCTGCTACTCCTGTGGCGCCAGCAGCCAGAGTCGGGAGCATTGGCTCTGCCACCCGGGTTGGCCCTCGGGCCTCGGTGTTGACGATCTGCCTCCGCCACCACCACCACCGGACACGCAGGGACGTGGCTCACACCCTCGGAATGTCTGCCTACTCGCGTCCATCTCACTATAATATGAAGCCAACTTTTTACCCCCTCCTCGTGATTTTGTTTTTCCTCTTCAGGGACTGTACTGCAAATCATACCCTCCCGCCTAACCACCCTCCTCCCGTTCTATTCCTAGCCAGTACGCTGTTCCTTGTACCTTCCTACACTTGGGATGGGGGCGGGAGACGCTTTGTTATTTTAAAGAAATGTGAAGTTGCAGACCCCGTAGTTGCAAGCTGTTACTGCTTCTACACACCCACAACAAGAAGCAATTGTTTTCTAAATGCAAAAATCGCTCCACCTCTCTTCCCCCACCCCAACATACGCGTTTAGAGGGCAGTCTTATTTTTAACATGCAAGGTCCATGGAGCGTGGCAGTATTTTCCAATCACGAATCTACAATTGTACCTAAGCTCCTGAGGTTGAGACTGACAAAGTGTCCTGAATGTATTTCCAAGTCAGGCTACATCCTATAGGGTGGTTGACTTTTGTCTTACTGTATCAAAAGTTCGGTGATCATTATTTTGGTTTGGGTGGAGGAGATGCCTGAGTAATTGAGGAACTTAATTAGGTGGGAACTGTCCAGGCTTCCCAATCCAGGGCATGCTTGGTTGTGAATAAGGCATGGATAAGTAACACCTTCTAGAGAAAAAAAAAATGTTATAGTGATCTAATAGGCATCAGTTTGTCCCTTGAATGCTTTGTAGATCTGCATGGGAACTTGTTGAGACAGAAACGAACTTGCAGCTGGAGTATATTCAGTGCCTGATCGCGTTAAGGAATGAACTGGCCGTGTGTCTTAACAGTTCGTATGCAAGTCAACCATGCGTCATTGAAATATTTTCTTTTTAAAAATTATGTTTACTTCGCACGCGCATGTCTCTGTGTGTGTGTGTGTGTGTGTGTGTGTGTGTGTTTTGCAGGGGAAGGTGTTGTGTGCATGCCACAGCCTGCATGTGGGAAATTAGAAGGTGGCTCGTAGGAGTTGGTTCTCTCCTTCCATTATGTGGGTTCTGGGAATCAAACTTTGGCTTGGTAGCAAGCGCCTTTACCATAACATTGACCAGACTGAAGTATTCTTTCATTAAAAGTGGAAATTTTGGGCTATTATTTCCTCCACATCTTTGCCTAGAAATTTAATTTTCCAACAAACGTGTTTTGTGTATGATCAACATAGGTATGTGTGTATAGTCTTATATTTCTGGCCCTGTATTTTTCCCCATTTTTCTCTTTCTGTTTTTGTATTCAAACACACCTGTGCACAACAACTTCCGGGAGTCAGTTCTCTCCATCATGTGGGTCCTGGCGATGAAATTCAGGTCAAATACACATTTAAACACTCCATCATTTTTAAATCATAGACTTGTATGGGATTTTATTTATTTATTGAAAAGAGGGGTATCAAGGCCCGTCTTTTATTACCACAAAGAAGTAAAAGTTACCACCTCAAAATGCCACTTCTTTCCTTTCTGTTTTTTTGCTTGTTTGAGACAGGGTCTTGCCATGTATCCCTGGCTTGTCTCAATTTTAGGCTCCTCCTGCCTCACCACCTCACCCTCCCATGTCCTAGATTGCCTGTGTGCCGTCTTTCTCAGCTACAGATGGCAACACATTTCTCAAAGCATTCATTTTGTTTTCTTTTTAGATATAATTATTTTGAGGTAGAGTACTACCTTAAGTGGTTTTTAAATTTTATGGCCCCGCGCAAAGGCTATAATTTAAGGGCTCTTCAGATTAAAATCTCGGGTTATTACAAAAACAATACCTGTGATATGTTCAAGATTATAGGCTTAAGTGTTCATATGTGTGTGGCTCGGATGGATTGAACTTCGAGAGCATAATACCCATTTAAAGGATGCTATATAAATGCAACATTCAGCAGCATTTCTGTGGATATATGTTTCGCTTTTGCTCCAGGGTTGTGACTATGTTATTTTAAAAAATTAATTTTTCCTGAGGATGAACCGCTCTTTCAGTATACTGTAATATTTTTCTTGCTCATCGTCAAAGGGAAGCAAGAACTAAAAAAAAAAAAAAAAAAAAAAAAATGCAGTTACCTTGGAAACAAATTTGTATTTCACCACTAGAGGATGTCAAGCCCCTTTCTTACGAATATTATTGTGAGCAGTCAAGTTCACAGGCAATCACATCACAAAACTATTTGACTCAGAGTCTGTGTACCACATTGTATGCACATGCGCATGAGCTATGGAAAGTGACTGTAGAGAGTAAGTCCCCCATTTGCCAGCCTCCTGTGAAAAATACTGCAGAGTTCAAAGGCAACGCTGCTTTTTTTTCTTTTTTGATGCTCAAACTTTGAGGTGCAAAGGGATAAATTAATGTCCATAACTGGTGACTTCTGTCGCCATCCTTTGGGAAGAAATTACTTAGAACTTGGAACTGAGTTTTTATTTCTCTTTTAGCAGGACTCTGGTGGGAGAACTTTGACCTTTTTTACTTTGGTCATTGTCCCTTCTGTACAATTTTTCCAGAGTAGTGATCTTTGTGGTCTTGCTTGGCTTGAAGAGACTGACTTAGATCAACACAGTAGATGCTCCGGTGGTTCTGGGTTGTAAACCCCTCTCTATTGAAAGCCAAATCCTAAGAATTAGAAGTCCTTCATTCGGTGCAAACTCTACATCTCGCCAAGTCATTGGCTCTCAACCTTCTTGTTTCTGCGACCCTTCAATTCCGTTCATGTTGTGGTGACCCCCCCCCCACCATAAAGCTATTGTCGCTGCTATTTTATAACTGTAATTTTGCTACTGTTGTGAATCATATGTAAATCTCTGATGTTTCTGATGGTCTTAGACAACCCTGTGAAAGGGTTATTTGACCCTCAAAGGGGTTGTGAACCCCAAGTTGAGAGCAGCTGTACTAAGAAGAAGGAAATGTTAACCTGAAGCAGTCATGCCTCTGTCACTACTCAGGCATGTGTGTGAAACACTAATTTACATTGGCATTGTCTTTAAAACATTCTGACACACTTGTGTCATGAGACCTGAGAACAAATTATTCAAAGAGCACAAGAGAATTTATTAAGTCTGGTCATGTTAGTACAAGAACTAAAACTATTGAGGCTTAAACTAATTTGACCAAGAATGTGTACTTTCTATAGATTATTAAAACTATGGAGGTTGGACGGTCCTTAAATTTGGAAAGTGCATCCACAGGCAGATATGTACAGGTTCTGAGGGTTCAGTGGAGAAAGAATCACTCCTGGCTGTGGGCATCGGAGTACTTACTGCTGATAGCACCTAGACTTCAAACGACAGGTAGGTAGGTGGAGAAAGGGAAAATAAAGATACTGGCATGGAGAAGTGCAAAGGTTAAGTCATCTTAGCAAGACAGCTGTGAGAGGCTCCAAGTAAGTGTCTGGGGAAATGAGTCTGAGACGATGGTGCATTGAGGCCAAGCCAAGGAAGGGCCAAAGGTCGAGCCAAGAGTTTGGCATAGTGTCATGTGGGCAGGGACTAGTGTGTCTTGATTAAGCATTGCTAATCAGATAGTTTTCTGTGCCCGTGAATTGGGACTCTTGATTGCCCATTCTAGTGATAGAGCCGTGATGTTCCTTTAACATGGGCACAACCTCCACAGGACTCTGCTGCTTCAGGACAACTGTCAGCAGCATATGAGGGACATCTGTCTAAAAGACAGATGAGACAGATTTGCCCTGGAAGCAGGGGAGGAGGGCTTCCTCTCAGAGTAGCTGTGTAGACCAGAGGAGGGATGCAGTCACTAGAGAGATCGCTGGCATGGCCGTGAGCACGGGAGGGGAACAACTAATTCAGGACTGGAAGGGGCATATGTCAAAGGATCGAGGGGAAAAGGGTGATCTAGGGAGTGATACTTCAAACCTGGTTCATTAGTTTATTCCTGACATGGCCATATTAATGACTAGGGCTTGGCTTTAGTAGAAGAAAGTGGGTGGGGGGTGGTGGTCTGTCTTATATGAAAAATTGTGCAGCAAAGGGGACACCGAATAGTCACTGATGACACCAGAGAGCCAGGTGGACGTGTGTGAAGCAGGAGGAGAAAATCAGAGGTCAGGTCTGGGAGCCATTCCAGGAGAGAGTAATTCTTGGGAGGCGTGAGGAAGAGATCAGAAAGAAAAACTGCATATGGATGACCCAACATTCAAAATGGAGGAGGGAGAGCCATCTGAGGCAAATAGAGAAGTAAAGGATGCCCAAGAGGGACAAAAAGGCCAAGCATTCTAAGACTGAAAATTTAAAGCCATTGCTTTGGATTCAGGTGT